AAATAATTTTTTTTTTTTTTTTTTAGTGCTGGAAGCACAGTATTTTCCTTATTAATATGGCACATTACCTATTCCTATCTGCAATTACATGGAGCAATATTATTTTAGCTGTTGGAGGATCACAGTGTTAAGAATATCTACTTCTTGCAGTGTCAAGCTTTCATCTGTTAGCTCCTTACTTGGAAGCCGTCACAAGAATAAAGTCAAGATTTGCACATTCAGGATGAGACCATACAATAAAGTTCTGGACATCCAGGATTCTTCCAAGTTTTTTTCCTTCTCCACTAAAGGCCTTGAACCTCAGTCTAGGTTTAATGTACCCTTAGTCCTGATGGTCCTCCATGTCCAAGTTCACTTGGTCACCATGCGCCAGTCGCTGCAGCTCCAGGAGAATCTCTCCTTTCTTAACAGACTCTAAAAACTGAGCATTTGTTGGGTCATTATAAGGTCTCAATTCTCTTATCATCTACACTGAAACCATTGCTCCACAGCTTAAGCAAAATCTGAACATCTTGTAGCTGATTTTCTCCATATATAAATTCAGATCATTTGCAAAAGGAATTACCTAGTCCATATCCTCCACTTGTAAATGACTTTGATTTATCATCACTTGATGATCTCGTGACTTCACTCAAAGGGGTAACCCCACGTTCTTTTGCTTTGAAAAGTTCATTCACAATTTTCCCAGTTGAAGGTCGAACTATTCATAATCTACTGTATTCTTGTTCACTTGAATAGAATTGTTAAGATGGTGTTCGTGGGCTTTTAAAGACTGCAGCTTTTGGTCTATGAAACTTGGAGGATTTGTCCTGCACTTCATCTTGATATAATTCTGCGAGGGCCATCTGCAAATCCTGCGTGCTCCAAGGCCACGGCTTGGAAGACCTCTGCTCCGCTTTAATCTCTGTGCCACAGCCCTCTGCCATCTTCTGCTTCCTCACAGTGACTGCAGGGGGAAGTGCAAAGTCTTGTACTGGATGATTTTGTAGTGTCACATAACTTATTTTTTACAACTGTCCTTATAATTGTCTTAGTTATTTGCTTAGTCACATAGCTGGTTAGAAGATAGTGCTGAGATTGGAATACAACTCTTTAACTACCACACTGGTATTACTTCCATAATCCAGCTGACTTTCAACATTTCTTGCAGGGAGAACAAAGGTTTTTAAAGTGACCATGACTGGGGCCTCATGAGCTGTTGGAGGAGTGCTCCTCCCATAGCCCTATTGTTAAACAAAGTTTAAATTTTGTATGCAGCACTGTGTTGAAATGTCTGAAAACACTCCCAAACCATCATAGAACTTGGGTTCTGAAGTTAATCACTAGGCAGGGGGAAAACCAAGGTGGCCAGTTAAAATGGGCCATTGTGAGCTCTAGCAAAATGTCTTAAGTTCCTAAATTCTTGGGTTTATGTTATGGCAGCTACTTTTCTTTCTTTCTTTCCTTTTTTTTTTTTTTGAGACAGGTTCTTACTATGCCATTCAGGCTGGCCTTGAACTCATTTTGTAGCCTAGGCAGGCCTTGAACTCAAAGCAGTCCTCCTGCCTCAGCCTCCAGAGTGCTGGGATTATAGGTGTGCATCACCATAATGTGGTACTGTCAATTTCAATTAAAGTTGAGGTGTGAATTACTCAAGTAGCAAACAACTGATATACTAAGGAATGAAACTTAAAGTTGACCTTTTCATATAAATTAGCTGCAACCAGATATGACTTTGTCAGTTGGCTTCCTATCAATAGAGGGTGGTGAATCAGGAGATGTGGTACGTGTCACAACGTAGAAATAAAAAGTTCTCTACTTCTCTTATATACAGAATGGAAACTTTTTTATTCAAGAGATAGCAAAGAGCTATGGCTAGAGAAAAACTGAAATTAGTAAATCTAGTACCCACAAATCTAAAAGCCATGAATCCAGCAGGCCAAGTGACATTAGTGTTGTAGGTAGCTGAGTTAGACAGAAATATCATGGGCAGTCAGACAGGGCTAGGCCCTCAGAAGGAGCAAATATGGAAGACAAGATATCTTGCAACTGTGAGAGATAGACACTCCCACTGTGGGCCAGACTTCAAGAAAAAAGAAAATGCAGCCACATACCTTCCTAGGGATGGGCATCAAGGATTGATATCCTAAATAGGTAGCAATCACCTTGAAAAAACCAGAAAGAGTCACTAACCCAACACCATATAGGAAAAGTCTGTTCTGTATTCATGCCTGCTTGCTACATGACTCACATCCCCATTTGGTCTTGGAGTTAATCAATTTTACCAGAGCAATTATCCATGTCATCTTATTGGTTGACCATAGTTTTATCACACCTCATGCCCACCTAGTGAGTGCCCATGTTTTCCACCTTAGGTTCGTCTCACTTCATGGTTTTGCTGTATAAAAGTCCCTAGAGAAGGCAGATTCCCAGGCAACCCACTTGTGTCTCCTTTTGTCTCTGAGACAGAAGCTTTCTTTCTCTCAGTAAATATATTCTGCCCTTAGCCTCCATTGTTCCTAAAATTAATTCTTTGGTTTTAGAAAACATGAGCTCATCCCAGGTATCTTTCAGGTTGGGAGCTTTATTTCCTTATATTATTAGGAAAGACAATGAATCATTTAAGTTTGTTTTTCCAACTATAAAATACGCCCATCAATGAAATGTAATCAGTACTCAAAAATGATAATACATTTTTCATATAATGAAAACTTTTTTTAGTTATGTATGTGTAAGGGAAAGAGAAATGAAAAGATAGGCTAGGCTTTCATGTAGGATATATTTACTAATTTGAGTTATTGGTAAAAATGTCTGAATCCTTTCAAAGGACAGAACTTTGCTCTACTATCTGTCAAATGGGGATGATAATAGGCTCCTATTTACCTCACTGACAATGCGCATATTCCTCATTCATTCTTTCAGCCAAATATTTTTCAGTGTTAAATCTTTAAAACACTTTCAACTGGTACATAAAAACATAAAATTGTACATACCAATGTATTCAAACATATTTAATTTCCAATTTTGCTATCTTGTAGGTACTGTGAATATTAATGAAGTTAAAGCACAATAAAGTCCCACCATTTATAGGTGTACATCTTGATGTCAAACACAGAGAAACATAACCACAGTGTTCAATGAAAAATAAATGCTATTCTATTAGGACATCAACAACTAATTCTAATTTCTTGCTATTTAGACTTCCAGGTCTTCACTTTAGCCAAATTCAGTGAAATTAATTATACTTTTTACCCTTCACTGAAAAAAATCTATGTCATGTTTCATTTATTTTTTTCCACCCAGATACCATTCAGCTGAGAAACTAAGTTTTTTTCCTTTATATTAAAACTTTTCAGGGCTGGCCAGATAGCTCAGCGGACCAAAGAACCTACTTAAGCAGGGCACAGCAGCCGGGGGTTCCCCTGCTTGCCGTGCCAGCCCTGCCCCCGGCATGCACTGAGATGGCAATTGAGACTGGCGTGGTGGCACATGCCTGTAATACAGTGCTTGGGAAGCTGAAAACAGGAGAATCACTATGAGTCCGATTTACATAGTGAGACCCTGTAGGCCCTGTAGTCCCTATACTAAATACATTAAAAAAATTTTTTTTAGAACTTTTCTTCATTATTTCAACCCAAAGTCATCTCTTTGTTCTATACCTATAAAAGGATTACATTTTAAAAATGTGGAGTGATATCAGTTGTATAAACTTTATATCTACAATGAATTTGATTCTCTCCACTGTTTCATGCACAACATGTTCCATGTTGAGAACCTAACTTGTGTTTATCTTTTCCCAGAAAACCAACCAATAAGCACTATTCACACTACTTTACAGAAACCCATGGATGTTTCAAGGGCGTAAGGCTTAGCTAAATAACGTCATTTTAAGGGACATATTTACAAAACTTAGTGTATTTAGTCACTGTGAAAATAATTATAAAATACTCCATGGAAATCAAAACATTTTTACCATTTTTCCTGACATAAACAATAAAATCTTTTAAAAATTGAGGGAACCGTGAAAAAATTTATGTGGTTTCTTACAATGTTCAGTCAGCTCCACATGATATTAAAAAAGATAAAACATTCTGGCCAGCTTTGAGTGACTAGGTAGAGTTTCATTTTTTGGAGCTACAGTTTGTGAGGATCCTAGAAAATTGTGTCTTCATTTCTTGTATCCTGAATTAGTCATACAATAAATTTGTAAGCATAGAGACAAAGTGCTAATCATCATGGAAGGATCTTCGTTATTTTTCAGAACACGTTTTTCTTTTCCTCAAAGACCTGACCACTTAAAAGGAGTCCTGCAGGTCAATTAGCTTGATTGCTTCTAAAGAGGGTGATTTGCAGAGATGTTTACCTTTCATGGGAAAAAGGGTCTGCTTCCTACACCTACTGCCATGAAACTTTGTCAAAAACCTGCCTCTAATAAAACTCAAGTTGACTTCAGAGAAATATTCAAATGTCCCAAAGAGTAAAGTTTACCATTTTTCCTGTATATTGAATCCTTCCTAACTGGAAACTATGGAACATACTGATCAAGATAATTTTCTCTCAGTTGAAATGACAAAATTCTTAGTTTCCACATAAATTGCAAGTTGAAAACTTATAACAATTTTCTACCTCTGTAAATTTCACGATTCCTCCCCACTCTTCCAAATTAAACGTTAAGTCTGTTGTCAACCAGAGAAAAAGAAAAACAAAAGCAAGATAAAGATGAGGTCAGTTTTGTGTATAACTGTCTTTTAGAGAGTATTTACTATGTACTGAAGATTATGCTACATGCTTTCATAAATTATTCATTTAATCACAGAAGCATGTGAAGTAGCTTATTATCCCCATTTTATAAATAAATGAACAGAGTGGTTAAGAAATTTGCTCAAGGAAAGAAAGCAGAGTCAGGATTAAATTCCACTCTGACATCAGAGCCTCAGCTGTTAAATACAGAAATGGAAACAGACTTTTCCTAAGTTATAGGCAGGAAATCTCTGATCAGCATAATCACACAAGTTCATGAATTATGGTTTACCTGTGGCCCAGCGAAGACACTGCTGAGGAGCCAGGCCAGGCCAATCATGGATTGTTCAAGCTTCCGGCTGCTCTGCACAGGTAGGGGCCTGGTGATGGCCAGAGAGCGGTCCAGGCTGATTACCACCATCATGAAGGCTGGGGCATACATGGAGAAAAGCTTCAGATAGCTGAGGACCTTGCAGAGTAACTCTCCTGCATACCACTGGACTGTAATGTTCCACATCCCATCCAGGGGCATGACAATCAGAGTCTCCAACAGGTTGGCTAAAGTCAGGTGTTTCAAAAGCACCTTCATTCTTGAGAGCTTTTTTCCTTTTTCCTTCAGAGTCCATTTCCGAAGTTTCAATAAGAAAGAAGCATTAAAGGTGGTGGAGAGTAGAAAAAGGAAGAAAGTCACTGTCACTCGGATCTTCCCAGATAAGGTCAGGGTAGGAAGAGTACCCTGCATCAAAGGAATACTGTTGTTGCAATGATTTTGATTCTGTTCAGAAGAGGCACTGTTTGCCATTTTTCCACAATGACAAAGCTTCAATACGTGTGTTATAAGTACTTCTGATGTTTTGTTGTACTTGAACCCGAAGTCTCATTTTATTCTGCTTTCTTTCCCTGAAACGTCACAAGTTTAGATTTATGTCAGATTTTGTCCCTGAGGTACTTAATGTGAAAGATCAAGGTGAACTTGTTTTGTGAGTTTGTAATCCAACCAACTGCAAGAACCGAGAATGCCAGACACATTCTGAGGGATGAATGTAACTGTATCGCTTCGGCAGGTGGCCTGGCGTATGCAGTGAAGGACACTTGAAGCCTAATTTTGAATTTACAAGCCACTCATGATATTAGTTTAATAACTTTAATGAAGAGCTTTTCTAAGAGCAGTTGTGTTAGTGTTCTGTCTTTAGACAGATTAAAAATGAAAATAATGAGAAATGCTAAAAAATTTAAAACTTGATCCAATTAAATGTCATTTTAAGAATTTAATGCATACCTGAAAAACATTTTTTTGTTTTCCTTCTTTTTTTTTTAAATTTTTTTTAATAAATTATTTATTTGTTTATTTATGTGTGTGCGTGTGTGTGTGCGTGCGTGCGTGGCCAGCTCAGCCCACCAGGGTGCGGGGCTGGCTGGCATGTGGTGCTGGGGGATTGAACCCCTGTGCTTTGCTTTGCTCAAGCTTGTTCTAAGTAGGTGCTTTAGACCACTGAGCCATCTCACCAGCCCCTTGTTTTCCTTCTTAAATACTCTGTTGAACATCTGAATATTAGATGTCAGTTTAAATTTATCCTACAGAAAAAAAACAAATTCATACCTTAGCAGAATCATATTGACTTAATACAAATGAGACTGTATTCAAATTTATCAACCTTAATGGTTAGATTCAATGTTTGAGTATAAATGATTAAACACTTTTTACTATTGCCTTGATTTTTACAATTACCTAAGTTTTAGTTGCTAATATATAGTCGTACGTTGGCTCATTCATTCCAGAATTCTGGGGAAGATGGCTGTGGAAGAAAAATTTTCCAGAATGCTTCCATTTGTGAACTGAGTTGTTTGTGAACAGAATCACAAATACCTGGTGAACTGAGGTATTACTGAAATTGGATAGGGAAACTAGATACTGGAGAGAATGCTTGTTTATTGGGTTAGTCTTATAGGTCTCTCAGCTCCTTTCTGTAGTAGTTGCCTCCTGGATCCTGAACATTGAGATAAATTACTTTCCATTTCTGTGCTCCATCTTAGCTGTTACTGTCTTCTCAGAATTCACTGGTTTCTTACTTCATATAGAGTTGGATAAAAATATTATTAGCTTTCCAAGTGGCTTTGTGAAAGATCTAGATGTATTTCTTAATACAGTAGCATATTTCTGTTCTGAAACTGATTGTTTTGCAGTGACAGTGGAAGGAATGAATGCATGAAAATGAGAAATATGTCTTTTAGAAGCAAGGAAGATGGAGACATAGGATCTAGCAGCATATTACAGACTTGAAACACCTGGAAAACAGCAGTTCAATGAAGAGAAAAAGAGAAGCTCTAGGAATTAAGAAAGAAGAAGAAGAAGAAGAAGAAGAAGAAGAAGAAGAAGAAGAAGAAGAAGAAGAAGAAGAAGAACAACAACAACAACAACAACAACAACAACAACAACAAGAACAAGAACAACAACAACAACAACACCCTTCCCTAGAAATCACAAGTAAACTGAAGAAACTGAAGACAACAAATGAAAAAGAATGAAGCATGCTCAATACAACCCTGGCTCCTGGAAACGGAACTGTCTCCTCAAATACAGAGTAAACCCAGAGATGGAGCCCTAGGGAGAAAGGACAGGCGGTGCTGGCATGAAAAGCCTACAGTTATCATAGTCTGAGAAAACAGAGTTACTGGAAGAGTAACTCTGTGTGGTAGACTAGAATTGGAGGAGAAATATATGGTAGCACCTGCCATGTTTGGGAATCATTTATCATGAGCCATTTGGGGAAGAGGTAATGGTTTAAAATTTAACTAGTCCAGGAACCAGAAGGTGCAGAGTAACTATACTTTAGGGTTTCCTGGGTGATCTAACCACAATGACTGTGTAAGAGATGGCTAAAAAACAGTTCTGTAGAGAGAATAGGCTAGACACAAATGCCCTGAGAAATTTGAGTTCAGGCTAAAGACCCAGGGTTTCACCCTCTGTGGAGAGAAGTGAGGCTAGTTTTTGCAGCTGGTTTGATATAAAAGTGCTAGTATTAGGTTTAGCAGTCTACTCTACCCTCACTTCTCACCATACCATGCAGTCTACTGACTCAGTGATCTGCCTACTTTACTCATTTGCCAGTGTGTACAGGGATACTTAGCTTGGATGGTTGGATGCTTGGCGTAGTCTGCAGTGTACAGACAGAAGAACCTCCCGAGTGTGTGTGGATGGGAGGTTCACAAAAAATGGCCTTAAAACCAGCCAAAGAAAGCAGTGATTTGGAGGCACAGAAGGATAGAGCAACTGGGAGTGGCTGTAATGAATGCAGTCCTGTCATTGGGTGTTGGAGTCCTGAAATCTCTTGTTAGAAGTGGTTTCTAGGTTCTTTCTGTCCCAAGCAAAGAACTGGTCAAGACAAGAGCAAATGGTAGCACAGTTTTATTAAAGGTCAGAAAAGAAATAGACTCTTCAGAGTGAATTTGGGCCAAGTAAAAGTAGGCAAACAAATGCACTTCTTTGCTATCATTTCTCTTTTTCATTTATAATTTTTTTTGGTGGGCATTGGTTTCTTTTTTCTTTTGTCCTTTGCCTTATTTCTTATTTTCTTTTACTTTTATCTAGTTTTATTAATTTTCATTTACTGTTTATGGACCATTTATCTAATTTTTCTTTCCTCCACATCTTTTTTTATTTCTCAAATTTTACTTTCATTTTCCTCTTTACCACATACTTCAGTTTTAGTGCTATTAAGCTTTATTAATTTTTTTACAGTTTTAATTTTTTTTTATTTTTAAAGACCGTTAATTTTTATTAGTACATAGGATGGCACATAATGTTATAATAAGGAATTGGTACATGTACATAAAACATCTCAATTCTTTTTTCTACCTTTTCTCCATCATTTATTTTGCCAGCATCAGATTAACTTTGCTTATTTTATAAATAATTATAGACTTAATTATCATATGTACAGCTTACCAACCAAATGAATAGGCCAAAAAAATAAGAAAAACCCACATAAAGCACATAAGACAATTGTGTTAAATCAAAGTATACTTTCAGATACTTTGTCCCTTCTGGATAACAGTAATTTCTTCCCTCTCTTTTTTCCTTTTATCTGTCTTTTATTTTTCACTTTATTTATATATTGAGTGTTGTTATTGTTTTGTTTTGTTTAAGAGAAGGAAGAATTGGACCAGCAAAATAGCTCATCAGACTGAGTGCCTGCTTAGGCAAGCACGAGGTCCTGGGTTCAATCACTAGCACCACAGGCATGCTGGTCTCAGCCCCAGGTGGCTGAGTTGGCAACGGAGACTTGGCATGATAGCACATGCCTGTAATCTCAGTACTGGGGAAGCTGAAAACAGGAGCCTCGCTACAAGTCTGAGCTGGGTAGTGAGACTCTGTATCAAATACATTTTAAAAAAAGAGTAGGAAGAATTTATTGAGATAAAGAAAGCTTCTGTCTGAGACAGAAAGAAGGGGGCCTGGAATATGAGATGCCCACCAATCTTGCCTCTCTTATTGAACAAAGTCACAGGGGGAAGGTAGGTTTGAGGTGGGACAGAACTCTAATCAATAAGATTACAAGTATTATCACGGGTAATATTGACTGAACGGGAATCAAATTAGAAAGCAAGTACACGTGGGAGAGACAAGGACCTTCCTGGTAGGGTGGGTTAAAGAGGCTTGGTCTTCCCCCCGAAGGTGAGTGACACCTATTTACAGTATCACTTATTCCTGTTCATCCCTAGGCAAAATATATGAATGAGTGGTTTCTTTTTCTTGAAACATGGACTTCAGTAAATATCACAGTTTTCTTCTGCATTAACTTATGAAGGAACTAGCTCTGTCTGACTGTCTATAATATTTCTACCTAACTTAGCTATCTATAATATTCCCCTCTTTGAAGAAGTACCTCTAACTGCCACAAGGGGGCAGGGGATGAAGACTGTTCTGGCTAC